TATAAAAGTAATTTTTTTAATTCAAGCTGTAAAATAGTATAAAAATTATATAAGATGGATAAAATCTTTACCACCGCTGACTCCATCAAACTATGGCCTCATCTCTCTGACTGGGAGTCATTTTTTATCATTGTCACATTTACCTATCACCAGAAAGCAAAGGCATTTAGTTGACTGAGAGAAAGAGAAACCAAATCCATGATATTTAAACTATCTTCTTACTACCTATAAGCACTTCCTCAAAGCCATTTTATACCTAAGTACACCCATTTCTCACTTATGGCCATATGTGTAGGTTCCAAAGATAAGGTGATTATGCAAAAATCACATGTGAGAATGGAGAAGGATCCTATCAAATCACAAAATAGAAGATGACCAAATCATTATGTTGTTGTTGTGTGCCGTTGAGTCACCTGCAACTTATAGCGACCCTATTTGTACAGCAGCTCTGAAGCCTGCCCTGTCCTGAGCCAGTCACACTGACTTTGACACACCTTCTCTCATTGTCCCAGTCACTGTACCAATCCATCTCATCTGGGGTCTTCCTCTCCTGCACTGTCCCTCTACCCTACCAAGCATGATGTCTTTCTCCAAGGATCAGTCCCTCCTGACCATCTATCCGAAGTATGTGAGATGGAGCTTCAAAAATCCTAACCTCCAAGTAAAAACCTGGTTTCACCCTCTCCAAGACATACCTATTTGTCTTCTTGGCAATCCTTCTCCAGCACCACAACTCAAAAGCATCAATTCTTCTGTCATCCTTAGTCATTGTCCAGCTCTCTGATGCATAGCAAGTAATTGTAAAGACCATGGCCTGGATCAGGTGCACCTTGGTCTCCAGATTGATATCACTGCTTCTTAATACTCTGTAGAGGTACCTGACAGATATTCCCAATGCCTTTTATCTTTTGATTTCCTGACTGTTGGCACCAAGAGTGTTGGTTGTGGGGCTGAGCAATCTGTAACTGTTAACAACCTCTCTCTTCTCTTTCTACTGTGGTACTTCAAATTGGCCAAATGGTGAGAATCTTTGTCTTCTTGATGTTGAGTTTCAATCCATATTGAAGACTATAGTCCTTGACCTTCTGCAGAAAGCGCTTCAGGTCCTTCTTACTTTCAGAAAGCAAGGTTATGTCATCTGCACAAAATTGATAAGTCTACCTCTAATCCTGATGCCACATTTCTCCTCATAAAGCCCAGCCTCCCAAATGATCTGTTCTGTATGTGGATTGAAAAGGCATGGAGACAGGATGCATCCCTGACATACTCCTATTTTAATTTCAAATCAAATAGTGTTTCCTTGCTCTGTTCTGACTACTGCCTTCAGGTCCAAGTATAGGTTTCGCATGAGCACAAACAAGTGTTCTGCCTAATAACATCATTATATAACTGCTAAACCACTGATCATCATGGCAAGCTAACATATAACCTTAAGCACTACAGGCAGTGTCACTCTCACCTAGCACCTTAGTTCATTAATGCTAGATGTATATACATCACTAATATACATCATTAATGTGTGCAAAATATTCAGCAGATTTGCACAACTGTCATAAATACTGAATGCTAGATAACAAGATAATCACTAAAGGAGGAAAAGACATAAAATCCATATCACCAAAAAGTAAGAGGGAGTTGCTACCCAAAACCCCCTGTAGCAGATGCAGAGAGCTGCTGCTGAGCTGACTTGTAATTCTGCAAAAACAGGCAGAAAACACTTGTTATCATATTTCAGTTAACAGATGCTGCCCTGGATGTGCTCACCAAGTTGTGCCAAGAAATCTGGAGAACAACCACTTGCCCAACTGACTGGAAGAGATCTATATTTGTTCCCATTCCAAAGAAGGGTGACCCAACAGAGTGTGGAAACTACAGAACAATATCATTGATTTCACA